AGACAGAATGTGCCTCACAGAGACACCCAGCTCTCCTCAGAGATGATTTTAACAACACTAACGATGATTTTAACCAGCTCAGGGGGACTCTCATCCTTTTGGGGGTCCCTGAGCCTGTTTTCCCCAGGGATCTATAGCATTCCTGCTGTACATTCCATTTTACCCCGGGAGACTGTATTTACAGTCACAARCAGACATTTTTCCAACACACCATCACCCAGGAACACCTAAATCTCACAAAAAGCTTTTTCATTGCCCTCTTCATCTTTCTACCTCCTAGTGTTTAATAGAATTCACTTAAAAATCTCCAACAATATAAACCTCCAGGGCTGGGTACCATCCCTGTGGCTGCCTGAAGGTGCAGCCCTCCATGCTCAGGACTGCAGGAATATGTGGCTCCTCTCTGCTCTCATGCCTGGCCCTGCAGGAACAGGGTTTTATGAGCCAGACAGGCTTGGTCAGCACTGGCTGCTGCCCCACTGCTGCCCCAATGCTGAGCTGCATTAATTTTCCAGCAAACAGACACAGTATTCCCCTGGGAATGTGTCWGCAGGAGCAAGCTTCATTATACAGAAGGGACTTGCAAGAAAATCCTGAATTGCCCAGCTCTAAGCTCTTTTCCAAACGTTTCCCCAGGGTGCCTCTGGAACAGATGATTGAGKGCTCCTACAGGGATGAGATGCTGCTGCTTCATTTCAGCCCAATTACGGAATTTAAATGCTGGGGGAGTTAATGGAAATGTTTATGGTTGCACATACACCAACGAGCTGGGCTCCTGCCATGCAGGGCAGAGCAAGGAGAGCTCCCCACATGCTGCAGGTGCCCCACCAGTGCCACTGTGGTGGGGACAGCACCGACAGCTGGGCAGCACCACCACCAAAAATGATCATTTTTCAGAGATTTTTATGAACAGTGCTGCAACACTCCTCCTGGCACGAGTGATTCCTGAAAGTCTGGTCTGCCAACAAACCAGAGCTCATTAAAATGACTTTTTAATTACTGACATCCTCTAAGTCAGRCATCATCCTTAAAAAAAGGGGTGTGGGAGCAGGTGCCTAGGAAAAACACCCAACAAGCACTCTTCATTGTTACAGAAACTCCAGAAACCTCTGAAAAACCCCACCTCTCTCCTCCTTGTGCTTTGCTCCTGCTGCTGGGGCTCTGGAGGTGGCAGGAAAGGCAGTGGCCATGGGACAGATCCAGACCTGCTGACACAGTGCAGCTCCTCTGCTTTTGTCTGTGCCCCTTCAGGGGTGGCAGCTGCCCAGGAGTGGCCGCTGCGCTGAGCGATAACGGCTGCTCTTTGTTTGATGCTGAAGGTGCTTGTCAGCCTCAGCAAGATAAAAAAGGCCAAAGTTATTTATAATTGTGTAATTAAATGGCTCCTGTACCTTCCAGGAGGCTCTTGCTGCTGCGAGATGGCCCCGCTCTCAGCAGGCAGCTGAGGTCACCCATGGTGG